ACTTCCTCATGCTAATATTGTTAGTGCTAATGCGTGTAAAGCATAAGCACCATACCGTAGGCCTCACAGTGAAGTATAAACACAACCCTGAAGGTCTCACAGTAATCTACACTAAAAGCTTTTTACTGTATTGGTTTGTTCAGCCGTGGATGCATGGAATCTCCTGGGGAGTTACTGGGAAGTCTTGTTTTGCAGAAAGATACAGAATATAAATCAAATGCATAACTTACTATGTCATTACATATGTGAGAAAACATTTGAATAGAACAGCAAAAGCAAAGTAATAACTCTTGACTTCCAAGGGCTCAGAGAGAATTTCAGTACTTTTCAAATGAATAAAATCATTAACATAAACATTGTCTTTCAGAGAGATTTGAAAGGCGCCGTTCTACAGTGTTGGTGATAGGAACCAGACGTCCGAAGAGTTTAAAGCCTCTAAAAGCTCCCTCACGAGAAGATATTACACAAAATGATGCTTCCTCCAGCTCATTCCGTGGGACCCCGAGCTGCTTGCAGGCCAACTTGGAGATATAATCCCTCCAGCGGGTTCTAGGTTGACCCTGGGGTCTCGTCCCAGTAGGCCGTACCTGGTAAAACCCCACCTGATCAGATGCCCGAACCACCCCAACTGGCTCCTCTCAATGTGGAGGATACTCTGAGCTCCTCCCTGAGCACCTCACCCTGTCAGTGGAGCGTAGGCCGTCACCCTGCGAAGAAAGCTAACCACTCTGAATGACTTTTACATCTCAATTTTTTGAAAAACTGATGCGATTTTCCTTTAAATTTAAACTCATAGGAGCTTTTTAAATGGGAATCGGCATTAGAATCACAATACAGTCCAATACTGTGTTAATCCAACAGTCAAATATGAACAGTAGTGTCTGTACAGTACGATATGGATGCTACATCTTAGGGTTTCCAGTGAAGTATCCTCTATAGAGCAGATATTACGATAAACACTTAGCAGCGCAGTATAACAACTGAACAACACACTTGTTTAGACCCTCGGCCTGAAACCGAAGCTGTTTATTGTTCATGGACAAACAACAGCAGGAGCAGCTCTCATTTGCCGAGTGCCTCAAGAGCTTCAATTAATCTGAGTGTTAGCACACTCGAATCCCTTCACCTTCTCTGAGAGCAATAAAAACAATGTTAAAAGTAGCCTGCACTTCATTAGACACAGCTGTCTCTCTCTCTCTCTCTCTCTCTCTCTTTCTCTCTCAGCCTGAAAGAAAAACAACAGCCACTGCATCCAGCATTTCCATCTTGAAACAGATTCTACCAGATTTGCATAGGACCGTTGTGGTGATAAGATATATTCAAATAAACCGATCTGAGTATTACAATAACAAAAAATACGCTGTCTCTGTCTCCCAGTGCAGCGAGTACATCTGCTTTTTCTACTTTTGCTTTCGCTCTGTCTCGGTATTCTCCTCTCTGTGCCTCTTTCTTACAGTTTGTGAGACGGCCAAATGACATATCGCTGCTGTCTGAAGAAAACCTCGTATCTCCACACTGGTAACTTTACAGGAGAAGAAAAAAACCTACTTTACTGTTAATGTAAGTCAATGGAACCAGACTTTTTTCCAAGTCATTTTGGGCCGTTTCTTTTAGTCCATTCATCATGAAACTTACACAGAGTGTAAAGGGCAACAGGTATTTTCAAATTATGTCAAAAACTGTCAAAAAATGTCAAAAATGGAAATACGAGGTTTTGTTTTGACAGCGGCAATATGTTGATATGATATGATTTTTGCAGTATAAAGAAGTAAACACAACCTCTGCAGAAAACATTTTTTTATATTTTTTCTGCAAATGTTAATGCAGGCGCGGCACGGTGGCGCAGTGGGTGGCGCAGTCGCCTCACAGCAAGAATGGCCTGGGTTCGATTCCCGGCCAAGTGACCAGGGTCGTTTCTGTGTGGAGTTTGCATGTTCTCCCTGTGTCTGCGTGGGTTTCCTCCCACAGTCCAAAAACATGCAGTCAGACTGATTGGACATGCAAAAATTGCCCCTAGGTGTGGGTGTGTCTGTCTGCCCTGCGATAGCTGGGATAGGCTCCGGCACCCTACCGTAACCCAGAAGGATAAGCGGTTTAGATGATGATGATGATGATGATGTTAATGCACCATTACTTTATATTTGATTAACTTAAAAAAAAAATAGAGGGAAAATAGTAATAGCGGTATGTGCAAAAGTGTGGACACCCTGCTGAGTCAGTACACCACCTCTCACGAATACACAGCACATATACAACTCCTTCTGAATCATGGGAGATTTGACAGGTGTATTTTCTGTTGTGCAACTACTTGGGGAGGGTGGGAAAGGAGATTACACTGGGGCGTTTTTGGGCCCCTCTTGTAGATCCTGTATTGCTATTGTACATGTATTAACTTACAGAACGATCTAATTTCTTAACAACGTGGCTCACCGACAGGACCATTCTGGCCAAACGTGATAGAAGCAGTTCCTCAGGGCCCCCGAGCCACAAGGGGGCCAACGAGTATTTTAATTATAATCTCATTTGTGTCATTCGTCATGATAATGACATAAAAAGGCTATGTAAGCAATAGTAACTTATTAATTAATAATGAAATCATACAAATAATCAAATATTAAATAAACATAATGACTTTGCTCCAAAAACACATCATTTTTTTGATTATTATTACATTGGACTTTCACTTTATTGCTTTAAACATTCTATTTCTTTAACTATATCTACTTAAATGTTGTTTTCTTGCATTTCCCTTGGAATGTATTGCATTTTGTTGCTGGTAGAAATGAAAGAGCAGCCCCATGTCCCAAACTTAAGGCCCCCAAATGTTCAGAAACGGCGCTGCTCACCATTTCCACCACTTCCATTTTCATTTCAAGCACTTCATAAAGGATAAAATGGCTGAAAGTACAGCATCGTGTTTAAAGTACTGAAACACCCCCACCACCCCTCAGATAAGAGTACACAGCTAACGGCATGACATCATACAATGTGACTGTGTGCTATTTCAGGCTAGATTTGTTACACATTCATTCCTTCTCTCCCTCCAATATGTGAGCCAGCGTTTTCTGCCAATATCGGACTGATACGGATACCCACTGATGCTGATATGCCATCTGTAGTCATGATGTATCTCATCCATGGTTTTCAAACAGATCCTTCACAACCGGCGACATGATGTACTCATTATTTATTGTTCTATCATCTTAAAGGGGAGTTTAACATCATCATGCATGTTAGTGTAACATGCCAGTGGTGAGTGGCATGCACTGACAGGATTCACATTAATGGGCACTGGGGCACCTAAGATCCTAATTGCGCCACTGGTCACTATACACTAATCAGCCATAACATTAAAACCATTTTATCAGCTCCACTGACCACATAGGAGCACTTTGTAGTTCAATTACAGACTGTAGTCCATCTGTTTCTCTGCATACTTTGTTAGCCCCCTTTTACCCTGTTCTCCAGTGGACTGGACCCCCATGGACCCTCACAGAGCAGGTAGTATTTGGGTGGTGGATCATTCTCAGCACTGCAGTAACACTGGCATGGTGGTGGTGTGTTAGTGTGTGTTGTGCTGGTCTGAGTGGATCAGACACAGCAGTGTTGATGAGTTTTTAAACACCTCAGTGTCACTGCTGGACTGAGAATAGTCCACCAACCAAAAATATCCAGGCAACAGCGTCCTGTGGGCAGCGTCCTGTGACCACTGATGAAGGACTAGAGGATGACCAACACAAACTGTGCAGCAGCAGATGAGCTATCGTCTCGGACTGCACATCTACAAGGTGGACTGACAATGTAGGAGTGTCTAATAGAGTGGACAGTGAGTGGACACCGTGTTTGTTTGATCCACTTGCACCAGCGCACCACACACTAACACACCACCACCACATCGGTGACACTGCTGAGAATGACCCACCTCCCAAATAGTACCTGTTCTGTGGTGGTCCTGTGGGGGTCCTGACCACCGAAGAACAGGGTAACAAAGTATGCAGAGAAACAGACGGACTACTGTCTGTAACCGTAGAACTACACAGTGCTCTTGTTAAGGTCAGTGGAGCTGATGAAATGGACAATGACTGTCAGTGGTTTGTTATAAAAGCCAGCACTGATGCACGGCACGCAGCCTACTGCCCCCTGTGGCCGTAACAGGTACTGCACCACTGTAGAGTTAACACGGAGAACATTCCTTTCTCCTCCCAGCAGCTGGATGCGCTGCCGCCACCTCCTCCTCTGTGTCCTCACTGTACCACAGTTTAACGCTCTGCTGTTCTGCTGAATGAGGCTTATCTTCACTCGCTCGTGGCTCCCAATGCTGCACACCGGATGTGAATGCGAGGGGAAAAGGGTTGGGGCGGGGCGGTGGATGGAGGGAGGATAGAGAAGAAAGAGGAGGGATTACCAGACCGGATAGTGCTGTGACATCAGGCCCCAAAAATGTGTGTGTGCGTGTGTGTGTGTGTGCGTGTGTGTGAGTGACCATGTATTTAACTGTTTATGGGGACCAGATGAGACGAAAAAACGTCAACATTAGGATGTTTCAGGTTGAGACTCAATTTTTTTGTCAATTATTCTACAATATTCTAGTTTTTTTGTGTGTTTAAGGGGTTACAATTAGTAATACAGAAGGCGCGAGTGAGAGGACCTGTATTTAGCTCTTTGTGGGGACCGGATGTCCCCAGAATGCTAAAAACATGAACATTTTAACAGTTTCGTGTGGAGACGAGATAATTTTTTTAAGAGAAAAAAGTAAATATTTCATTTTAAGGTTAAAGGGTTCGAGGCTGGTTGGTTGAGTTCAGGTTGAGGTGTGAGCTTTAGAGTAATTAATACAGAAGTCGATGCAGCTGTGACCCCGCAAAGACAGGAATACAGAGAGAGAGAGAGAGAGAGAGAGAGAGAGAGAGACGCGGCGGTGTGCCTGGAAGAGGGCGGGAACGAGCGAGCGAGAGAGAAAGAGAGCGCGCGCGCGCGAGAGAGAGGGGCGTTTCTATTCTCAAGCCGGCGAGACTCTGCACGGGCACGCGCAGCAACTTTGCCGGACCGTAGCGCGAGCACACGCCGTTGACGACGCCTGCTTGTGAGCTCTTTAGCACGCACATACAAACACACACTTCTCCGCACAACACACTCTTCTTTCTCCACCGCGTTTATCGCCGTTGTTCCCGTCTCTGACTCTCTCTGAGACCGAAGCGGACTTAGCGCAGCCCGGGCTTCACGGAGATCAGCAGCGGCTGCGGAGCGGAGCTCTGAGCGGAACAGCACGGACTCGGATTCAGCCTCACAGCCCCGGCACCGCCACACAGCTCCTCCACTGACCGCGCTCAGCCTCCGGAGTGAGTAACACTGATTATTGCTCTACATGTCGGTCCCGGTTCTGTCCCGCCCGGTCGTGTCGTCTTTGTTCCGTTAACCTGACAGGACCTCTCCGTGTTCAGGCGTTAGCAGCTTCAGCTAACTTCACCGGCTCTCTGACTGACTGTGGGTCTTAACGGTCGTTTTCCGAACACTCCGCAGTTCGGCTGTCAGTTTGTATCCGTTAAAGGGGAATTCCACCGAAAATTCGAAATTTTCTGTAAAAGTCAGTGGTTGAGATGTAAACAGTGGTTTGGTGCGAAGTGGTTCATTCGTAGAGAACTTGCAGACTCACAGTGGTGGTGAAAGGAACCAGGGGTCACGATGTCTACAGCTGATGATGGTAAAATAGTCATAAATCTAAAAAAAGGGGTTTTCTTTGAGGACTGTTTTGCCTTAGAATGCCATGCATGCATCCCTACACCATGAATGGATTAAAAATGGATTAAAACACATTTTAAGCCAAAACTTCACCAGACAGTGCATTCAGAACCATTTCTTGTAATAACTTTTTGGGAGGGAGCTTTTAGAGGTGGACGTCTGGTTCCTATCATCACCACTGTGAACAGTTCTGACTTGATAAGTTTCTCTGGAACGGCGCATTTCACACCAAACCACTCTGGACGACTTTGTTTACACCTCAACCATTTAATTATGTAGAAAAATCGGTGGAGTTTCCTTTTAAAACTAGAGCTGGCACAATATGACACTTTTCCGATACCAGTATTGAAACCTTGAATATCAGCTGATACCAGCATTTCTTTCAAAATGACTAAGCTTTAAAGAGCTGTTTGTAATTGAAGCACTTCATTTAAGATGAACATTTGAGAGTTATCATGCTTAAATTGCTCACCACCCCAACAAGAAGACATACGCAGCTAACAACAGCATGACATGACACAATGTGAGTGCTTTTTCAGGCCAGATTTGTTACAGGACTGGATTGGATTCATCTGTTTTTTCCCTCTGATATCCAATCCTGAGTTTTCTGCTCAATACCGATATGCCTTCTCCGGTTAAAGGTATTATTCAGGTAGGGGAGGTAAGTGAATATATGTAGGTCATTATAAAGTGAAGTGAAGTGAGATGGAGGCCAGCTGTCAGTGTAGCTGAGTCAAGGCCCACAATGTTGGCATTAAGTGGCGTGACTTTTGTGAGCTGAAATCTGAATGGATTTTCTGAGTCTGTCAGCAACATACAGGTATATAGCCTTGACATAGATTTTAAAGCAGCAAAGTAAGGGACTCTCTTGCTTTTCCCGTCTCTTCAAAGAACTTCCTTTCAGAGAACTGCTCAGGCCAATGAAACACTCCCTGAGAGCCTCAACGCTCTCCCCGAGATATGGGAACATCTGCCCATCATCATCAATTCTGACAAGTTTTGTCGCATTCAGGTGAGGCAGTCAGCCTTGAATGTGACCCTTGTTGTGAAGAACTGAGAGATGGTATCTCTCCCAAACAGCCAGAAAATCTGAGAAACATTGCATATGGAAAACTGCAGGTTGATAAGTGATGAAAGAACCGCTCTTGCCCAAGCGAAGTTGCAACAAAAAAATCCAGCATGGTGGCGTATCCAGATTTTTCCACGCTGACTGAAGGTACGCGATGAACAGGAAGAATCATTACTCATCTTACCGTGCTTCCAACTTCTTTCTCTTCAAGTGTATCTTCAGCCTCAAATGCTTCTAGGCTAATTGTCTCAACTTGAATGCCACAAAATTTGTCAGAAAGAATTCAGATGACATGTTTTGGTGGAAAGGTAGGTGTTCCCGTCTCTCGGGAATGAAGCATGGAGGCTCTCAGGGTTCGTTTTGTTGGCCCAAGCGCTCTTGCCTATACTGCATTGATTCTGTTGTGTCTCTGCTGAGGAAAATGGGCAGCACAGCAGAAACCGCTTCCCTTCCGTCCACTTCCTGGCTTGGTGTGTGTTTGTGTGTGTTTGGGGAGTGCTTTTGTGGCCGGGATTGTTTTCAGGCAGCGATTCAAGCTCTTGTTGGAAACCCTGTTTAACTGAAAGCGTAAACCAGTAAGTCTCTCCTACCCTCTCGCACTCTCTCTCTCTCTTCTCTTCCCCACTCTCTCTCAACTCTCTCTTTCTCTTTCTTTTGCTTGCTCCACTGAGTGCATTCACTCTCTCCCCACACTGACTCAGCAAATGACTTGTCAGGAGCAACGAAACGACAGACAACTACAGCCACTTTCCCTCAGACGTCGGGTTTTTTTTTTTGCCGCTGTCTTTTCTCATTGCAACTTCTTTGATGGACGCCTTAACCTCGTCTGCTGGCCCGTCCCTAGCACTCAGTTTTCCAGCAAGCCTCCCTGCCAGAGACGCTCAAAGCACGCTGTAATTTCCGTTTGTCTGACAATCACTTTATACATCTCTTACTTTAAATCGCTCTTCTAGCGCTGGCCGATATATATTGTCTGCACCAGTATACGATATTGAGCCTCACTTTTGGTGATATTGATAGATAAAAACATAGTCAACTGCAGTGTATATCATTTGCTCGGCACCTCAGATGGTTCTAAAAGAAGATTTTAAAATGATATTTAAAGGATTCTTTAGTAAAAAAATTGGTTCTATGTAGAGCTATGAACTCTCAAAGAACTCTAATGAACTCCTGCATGATTAAAGGGTCCTTGCAACATGAAAGTGTTCATCGGGTTGATGGAAAACATGCATGAGTTGTGCTGTAGATGACTGTATATAGCACCCAAAAGGGGGTTCTTCTATTGTTACTAGCTTGACACCATAATAATAGCAGAACCCTTTTAGAACCATCTACAGCACATTCTCCTTCAATCTGAAGAAGGCTTTTGTGATGCCAAGAACCCTTTAATCATGCCGAGGGTTCTTTGAGAGTTCTATGTAGAGCCCTTGATGTACCATCTTTTTTAAGAGTGTAAATTAATAGTCAGTTTCTTCCCTGTAGATGTAGAGTCTGTCTGGTTAATGGTTACAGTACTATCTAAGCTTTTCTCCGGTGTAGTTTTAAAAGACGAAAACAGTCCAATCAGAACAAAGTATCTGATTTGTAGAGCACCAGTACCCAGGAAACATGGGTCATTAACTTTACTGACATTAACTTAAATATAATCTTATACTGTGATGCTGTGGTATGTTGGAAAACATATTAATGTTGAATTTTATTATCACCGTCTAGCATTATTATGCAGCACGAGCTCTTTCAGTGCTCAGTGCAAAGACAGCAGATGTCTTTGTGCGCTGTGTTGGACTGGTGCTCCACGGTTAAGTAAAAGCGCTTGATTTTGCAGAGGTATAATACCATAACAGGCCTGTTATGTAAGAATCCTTTCGAGGCTCCAGTTTTGTCCTGGATTTGGCTGTGTGTGTATATGTGTGTGTGCTCTGTGGCTCTCCACACTCCCTCTATTAAAATCTTAGTGCCAATTTGCAGGCCTCTCTTAAGAACCTTCATTGGGAAAATCCGGATCAGTGTCCACCACAAGGTCATATCCCACTGTCCTCTGCCCTGGGAACTGAGAGTTCCGGCTCGCTTCCCTCTGGGCTGGTTGGCCGGAAGAATAACAAACCCCGGTGAACTTTTCCATGCAGCAGCTTGCTGTAAATTCATTTAATGTGCGCTGATCTCATTCAGAGCACCGTAGGACCGCACAGTATATTGGTTGCTAATCAATATTCGCAAAAGACGATATGCAAGTGAGCCCTCTGACCAGTCCCGAAAACTGTTTACCGAGTGCGGTGAGCATCTCAGACTTTCCAGATGATTCTGTGGGAGTTTGTTGGATCATAGGAGTATGATTATGATTCCACGTGATCATGTGATTCAAACACAAATCAATTTGGTCATGACAGTCAGGCCAATATTTAACTCTTACTAGAGCTGTTACTTTTTTCAATACTTTTTAAAGGTATTTACATAATTAGCTGTAAAGTTAGTTTCACAGTTATATTAACATTCAGTTTACACTCCATATTGGAAAGTTTAAGTTTCCCATTTGTTTCTATGAGTGTGTTTACATGCACTTAATAAACCGATAACTGCAGAAAGTCTTTATGTGCACTTGAGTAATCAGATAATGTGAAAACTCCGGGTCTAGGTGAGTCAGACAGTAATCGGATTTCTGCTTTACAATCAGCCAATAAACTCACAGAAGAAGACGTGATGCAAACATAACATAAAACTCAAACTTCATGACGTGGCTTTTTTTAAAAACATTGCGCCACTTTTCCCTGAAAATATGAACATACATCATCTAGAAGATGAAGAATCCTTAAATACTTCATTTTGTCAAGCATGTATTTGGTTTCTGCGTCACTCCAAAAGTGTTTTGCTGCCTCTCGCGGCGACGCTGCTCGCTTATTTCCAGTACCAGTGTCTGTTTTCGCACGTGCGCAGACTGAGAAATCCGAAAGAAATCAGAGTAAGAGTTCACATGCACTGAGAAATCAGATTATTGAGCTAAACCTCAGCTCTCTTTATAGGATTTCTTAATCTGATTTTTAGATTGGAGTGTAGTGTTTACATGACCATTTAAATAATCGGATAACCCATTATGATCGGATTATTGAGTGCCTGTAAACGCACTCAGTGTCTAGAAAATAGGCAAAAAACATAGAACATGTTCTTTTCTTTCAGCAAAACATGACTTTGTGCACAAGAATAACATTTTGTCAACTTCAAATCGTAGCAAATCTTTTTATCTACTTACAAACCCGAATGTGTTATTGATTGAAAATCGATTAGACCCTGGCTTTCAAAGATGCTTTGGTGATAAATGGATTTTTAAGTGTTAACCGCCTCTAAAGCGTTCCCCACTGTCTATTTAGTACATTGCACAGCATAATGCAACATGCAGTCCTATCATTGCAGCATGGCATTTTGCAGCTCTAGAGCTTTGTTTACCAGAGGTGGTGTCACTGGGAGCCCAGCAAATAATGAAGGAGGTGTGTTCCTCTATTTGACAGTCTGTCTCTCAGCAGCTTTGATTGATCACTC